TTTGGTATTTTCTGGCTTTTTGTGTCTCTACACTATTACTTCTTTTTGGGAATATCTACACATTGAAAGACATTTGCATTGATTTTTCTCGACCTTTGACCTCGACGCATTGATTTCAGTGTATGTTTTACTGACCCCTTTCATCTGGAGAATCACTTGTGTGCAAAATATTTTCTTCGAAAGTGTACTGATCATAAATCGTTGATGTTTCACTTTTTGTGGCTTGAAATAAGTAGTTCACTCCAGTCGCTTTATAAACTTGCCGGTTTTAAACGCGTTTATTCCAATAGAAATGAATAAATTTTAACTCGCGGAAATTCGTCCTCTCAGCGTTAAACCCTGAGTCAGTTGAAAGAAATTGTTACTAGCTACGCTTGTTTTGCTGTTTACAAGAATTTGGAATCCAAGTTTACCGCAAAAGATTTTGGGTAATCCACTTCATTTTCCCCGATGGCGGCTCCAGCTTTATCCAGCTTTATGGGCCGCTCAGCAGCGGGGAAGTTTGAAGTAAGTGAAGTCAAATGACTCTCCATCATGAATTTCATATTTGATACGGTTCTCTCTTCAGTCAAATACTCGGCTGCCTTTTTAGGTAGTGCGAATTCTTGTCGAAGAAGCTGGAGCAAATATAAACCAGACCACTAATACAAGTAGTACACCACTTCGAGGAGCTTGCTACGATGGCCATTTGGAGATAGGTAAGATTTGTGGTCTATCCTTTCGAACTTCGCTATTTTCTTAGCTTTTGAGAGCTAGCATTTCACATTTCTATAATAATTTGGTTGAACAAACTGAAACCGTTGATCCTTCCGTTTTCGTTCTTTTTTCTATATCGATTTGAGCCGTGCGAAAAATGGCTGCTCACTTACCGTAAGCATCGTTGCTGACTTTACCATCCGTCTTCTCGGTGTTGTTCGCCTTAGAAGGAAGCATTCCGTTTCATCAATTTTCTCATCTTGCTGAGAACCCGTAAACTTTTGTGAAGACCCCAAATGAGACGATTTTCGTTGAGCTGCTTCTTTGAAACCCGCTGAACTCTTAAAAACTTGAGACATGTGGGCTTCTCCATGTACAGCCTGTCACAAGAGCTTACGTGTTCCACGAGATAGCCTGCACGATCTTCGTTGAGTGCCATTTCGTAACTTCACAGGGATTACATGTCACAACGAGGATAAGAGCTCTTAGAATGCCCCCCCTGAGGAGAGCATTGCCCGTTTTTTCCACCTTACTTTTTTAAGCGAGAGCATTACTGTGCTCAAGTGCACGTCCGTTTGACATTGAAGGTTGATTTCTTTGCTTATCCTCATTATGCCAGCGATCTTTCAACTGGAATTTTCGTGGATGGTCGGACACTTGGATTAAACTGCAAATGTTGCAAATAACAAGCTCGTGGGCCTTTGAAAACTACTAAATCTGTGCAAACGCCGGAATTTAGTGAAGAGAGCTTTAGAAGGCTTCGAGATTATAAGGGTTTACTCGATGAAAACTACCCCTAGGTGAAGTTCGCCGTGGGGGGGGTCGGCATTTTGCAATTTCGTAAATTACTCCTGTTCGTTAATGTTTTGTAAGAGGTCTTACAGTGATCATACTTTACAAATCCTAAGAAGCTGCAAAATTGTTCGAGTGCGCCACTTTGGTTCCAGAAATTCAAAGGTCTTCATAAGGAGGCCTGTGCACGCTTAGCTAAGTATTATTTGGTACTTCCACCGAGCCGAACTACGCTGTGTCCTCAAACTGAGTTTCGCCTTTTCCGTCCTTGCTTGTCCGCCTTTTAGGTTTCCTCTTATTTTGAGTCCATACCGTGGACTACGAAGCTTTACTAAGCTGTTTCATCACGGTAATTCCACTTCTGTACTTTTCCAGAAGGACATTTGCACGATCTATTGTTCATTGTACTTCGAGAGTTGCGTGGTGTTATACGTATAGCTCAAAATGTCACGTTATTTCGTTGTAGAACGCTGAGCAATCCTTCGCCTAAGTGTTTATTCAACAGCTGGTTGAAGTCTACCTCACGCGCTATTACA